TGTTAGAATGTTCTTACCTCCTCAAAAAAAGACCTGGAGGTGCGTTTTGTTTCATTCACAAATGTTTGACTCACAAATTCTGCATATTTAGGCTGAGTTCTTCTCTCAAAAGGAAAATACTCACCTTCACCTCCAGACTAAACCAGGACTAAACCAGGACTGAGCCAGGATTAAACCAGAACTAAACCAAGATTAAACTAGGACTAAACCAGGATTAAACCATAATCTACAAGCAAGACTAAAACAGGACTAAATCAGGACTCAGCCAGTACTAAACCAGGATTAAACCAAGACTACACTAGAACTAAACCAAGATTAAACTAGGACTAAACCAGGATTAAACCATAATCTACAAGCAAGACTAAAACAGGACTAAACCAGAACTAAACCGGGATTAAACCAGGACAAAACTAGGACTAAACCAGGACTAAACCAGAATTAAACCAGAACTAAAGCAGAATTAGACCAGAACTAAACCAGAACTAAAGCAAAACTAAACCAGAATTAACCCAGGATTAAACCAGGACTAAATCAGAATTAAACCAATATTAAACCAGAACTAAACCAGGACTACATCAGAACTAAACAGAACTAAACAAACTAAACCAGAACTAAACTAAACCATGAACTAAACTGAACTAAACCAGGACTAAACCAGAACTAAACCAGAATTAAACTAACCAGAACTAAACCAGGACTAAACTGGAACTAAACCAAACTAAACCAGTACTAAACCAGAACTAAACCAGGAACTGGACTAAACCTAAACCAGAACTAAACCAGAAACTAAACCAGAACTAAACCAGGATTGAACTAAACCAGAACTAAAACAGAACTAAACCAGAACTAAACCATGACTAAATTGGAACTAAACCAGGACTAAACCAGAACTAAATCAGAATTAAACCAATATTAAACCAGAACTAAACCAGGACTACATCAGAACTAAACCAGAACTAAATCATGTCTAAACCAGAACTAAACCATGACTAAACTGGAACTAAACCAGGACTAAACCAGAACTAAACCAGAATTAAACCAATATTAAACCAGAACTAAACCAGGACTACATCAGAACTAAACCAGAACTAAATCATGTCTAAACCAGAACTAAACCATGACTAAACTGGAACTAAACCAGAACTAAACCAGAATTAAACCAGAATTAAACCAGAATAAACCAGAACTAAACCAATATTAAACCAGAACTAAACCAGGACTAAACTGGAACTAAACCAGGACTAAACCAGTACTAAACCAGAACTAAACTGGGATTAAACCAGAACTAAACCAGGACTAAACCACAACTAAACTGGGATTAAACGAGGACTAAACCAGGAGTAAACCAGAATTAAACAGGACTAAACCAGGTCTAAACCAGAACTCAACCAGAGCTAAACCTAATCCAGGATTTGAGCCATGACTGCACCATGAGTAAATCAGATCTGACTCAGTACCAGAACAGGGATTAAACCTGGTCTCAAACTCGCACTAAACCAAAACAAGAACCAAATCTGTACAACGTCAAAAACCAAGTCTAAATCAGAACTAAACCAGGACTAAACGAACCGAAGAAGGATTCATCAGGGTTAAATCAGGACTAAACTAAGACTTATAAATCCAGAGCTGCACAGAAAAGCAGAGAACCACCTAATCTATGTCTTATTTATTTAATGCCATACGGTGGAATATTCCAGGCAAAGCAGGACATCTCCATGGAGACAAGCAGGTGGGAGACACTTCACCATGAGAAAAGTTGCATGCTGTATTTCACCTTTAACTACCGCTGTGTTTCGCAGTGTTTTCAGCACCAAGGTCAGCTCCTGCAACAGTTACGTTCAGCACCACGGACAGATCCAGGCCCCGTTTACTTCAGCTTTTTTTTATTCTCGCTCTGTGTTTGTGACATTTATAAGAATAAAATGTGACTACGGCAAACACGGAAACACAGAGGTCGCAGAGGTCAAGAGGATTATACAAGTGAACCAGGACTAAAGCGGGACTAAAGCAGGACTGAACCAGGACTAAAGCGGGACTAAAGCAGGACTGAGACCAGGACTAAAGTGGGACTAAAGCAGGAATAAAACAGGACTGCACCAGGACTAAAGCAGGACTAAAGCAAGACTAAAAAGTGGCACTAAAAGAGGACTAAAGCAGGACTGAACCAGGACTTAAAAGCAGGACTAAAGCAGGACTAAAAAGGACAACAGGACTAAAGCAGGACTGAAGCAGGACTAAAGCAGGATTAAAGCTGGGACTAAAGCGGGACTAAAACTGGGACTAAAGCAGGACTAAAAGCAGGACTAAAGCAGGACTAACAAACTAAAGCAAGACTAAAACTGGAAAAAGCAGGACTAAAGCAGGACTAAAATAGGACTAAAAACAGGACTAAAGCAGGGACTAATGCAGGACTAATGCAGGACTAATGCAGGACTGAACCAGGACTAAAAGCAGGACTAAAGCAAGACTAAAGCAGGACTGAAGCAGGACTAAAGCAGGACTAATGCAGGACTGAACCAGGACTAAACCAGGATTAAAGATGGACTAAAGCGGGACTAAACCAGGACTAAAGTGGGACTAAAGGAGGACTAATGCAGGACTAAAGGACTAAACAGGACTGAACCAGGACTAAACCAGGACTAAAGCAGGACTGAACCAGGACTAAAGCAGGACTAAAGCAGGACTGAAGCAGGACTAAAGCAAGACTAAAGCAGGACTGAAGCAGGACTAAAGCAGGATTAAAGATGGACTAAAGCGGGACTAAAACTGGACTAAAGCAGGACTAAAGCAGGACTAAACCAGGACTAAAGTAGGACTAAAGCAGGACTAAAGCAGGACTGAAGCAGGACTAAAGCAGGACTAAAGATGGACTAAAGCGGGACTAAAACTGGACTAAAGCAGGACTAAAGCAGGACTAAACCAGGACTAAAGTGAGACTAAAAGAGGACTAAAGCAGGACTAAACCAGGACTAAAGCAAGATTAAAGCAGGACTAAACTGGGAATAAAGCAGGAATAAAGCAGGACTAAAATAGGACTAAAACAGGACTAAAGCAGGACTAAAGCAGGACTGAACCAGGACTAAAGCAGGACTAAAGCAAGACTAAAGCAGGACTGAAACAGGACTAAAGCAGGACTAAATCAAGACTAAACCAGGACTAAAGCAAGACTAAAGCAGGACTGAAACAGGACTAAAGCAGGACTAAATCAAGACTAAACCAGGACTGAAGCAGAATTGAACCAAGACTAAAATGGGACTAAACCAGGACTAAATCGGGATCTAAAACCAGAACTAAATCCAAACTAAACCTGGACTAAACCACAATCTACAGGCAGGACTCAGTCAGGACTACACCAGGACTAAACCAGGACTCAGTCAGGACTAAACCAGGATTAAACCTGGACTAAAACAGGACTAAAGCAGAAGTAAACCAGAATTAACCAAGGATTAAATGAGGACTAAACCAGGACTAAACCAAATTTAAACCAGGACTAAACCAGGACTCAGCCAGAACTAAACCTGAACTAAACTGGGATTAAACCAGAAGTAAACCAGAATTAACCTAGGATTAAATCAGGACTAAACCAAGTCTAAAGCAGGACTAAACCAGATCTGACTCAATACCAGAACAGGGACTAAACCTGGTCTCAAACTTGCACTAAACCAAAACAAGAACCAAATCTGTACAACGTCAAAAACCAAGTCTAAATCAGAAGTAAACCAGGACTAAATGAACTGAAGAAGGATTCATCACAGTTAAATTAGGGCTAAACAAAGACTAACAGATCCAGGACTGCACCAGAAAAGATCCAGATCTAAACCAGGACTGAAGTATAGTGCACAAACCACGCCAAAAAGGTCTAAATCAGAACTAAACCAGGACTAAATCAGGTCTAAAGAAGAATTTCAAAAGCTCAAAATCAGTTTTAAACCAGGGTTAAAGCACTAAACAAATCACAATAGGCCAATTTCAAACCAGGACTGTAAAAGAAATAAACCAGGACTCAACCAGCACCAAAACCAAATCAGACCAGGACTAAACCAGGTCTAAATCAGGACTTTATGAACCTCCATATTTCAACCATTCACACTGCGGTCGCCAGAACCACACAGCAAAAGCACCACATTTTACCAAGACTTTTTAAACCAGCACCAGAAATAAACCAGGTCTAAGTAGGACAGGAGAGATTTTTAGACCCTTAAGTGTTTTGCTAAAATGGCCCAAATGATCATGGGCAGTACTTTTACCGACAAATGCGAGTAATTCTACCACTATTACCTCAGTAACATCACAATGCAGTAAAATACAGACCGATGTTTTTAATATTTCAAGTCTTTTAAAGGTGCACGGTGCAACTCCACGGACATTTTGCAATTCTGTGTCTTAAAAGTTACGCAGTTTGGTATTGAACGCATTTATTTCTGTTTAGACAACCAAGGGACTCCACTAGGCAGAGTTACAGGTCATATCTGTGGAGAGGCGACCCAGCTCTTACAAGATTTGTCCCTTGGTGAAAGAAAAGTTTGGACACTCCTTAATCCAATTTACAATATTACTATGACGTCTAAATCAAGACTTTTTGATTCTAAGTACTCAAAACCAGGACTGTTACTAGTACAACACCGTAAAGTAACACTTTTTTGTACAAATATACAATTTAATAGTACTTTTATTGTTCTCTCAGTGTATTTGGGCTCGAAAAATGGTCGAATCATAGCGATAGTTGTGAGATCTTTTGCTTTACCACGCCCCCTTTTGGCTGACTAATCGATGCACGAGGACGCACGAGGTTATTCTTTAGTCGAGCAAGACTTTAACCGACTATAGCCCACTTAAAAACAAATAAATAACTTTTTTTTTTAGGCCATAGCAATGAAAATAATAATGTTTTCTGTTCGGACACCCCCAAATCACCAAAAAAACAAAACAACAAATTACTGTCAAGTTTTACTCATTACTTTTCAATCTCACTAAAATTAAAAACAAAACAAAAAGTATTACCATAAAAATGGTTCCTGTCTTACCTTTCTCTAGATCGGAAATCCTCTGGTGTAGCGACGTGAGCGTGGACTCCACTCGTCCGCGCTGTTCGGTCTCGTTGCGCAGTCCGTGTCGGTTTTCTTCGATGCTGTTGACCCGCGACAGGACCTGCTTCTCCAGCTCGTCGATGCGGTTTTGGAGCAGATCCTTGAGGCTGTTGGCTTGTACCGAGCTATTACTGCGACTGTATTGCTGTAGGGACGAGAAAACAACTTATGTTTTTAAAAAAGTCGTGAAATGGCGAAGCGTATTTCCCGTCGTTTTCGTCTGAGCTACGTGCGTAACTTTTATACGGATAAAACGCGTAATTTTGGTCAGACCCCTGTTCCTTTTCTTCCACGTCACGTGAACTATAAAAAAAGTGAGAGCTGCATTAAAAAAAATCATTATATTATCACATTTTGTCGCAAAGAATCAAGACTTTTTGAGTGTAGCTGGCGTACGGTTGTAATATTTGACACGTTTCAAGTCTTTCTGTGCGGTTACGATTAATAAAAAACTTTAAAAATCGATGGTGTTACTGCAGTACAATCTTAAATTTTCCAAGTGTATTCAACAATATGTACAATTTGAACTCGTCTCCAATGATCTGTGAACGTAACTCGCTCGGTTATATATTTTGATCGTTAATATTGAGTGTTTAAAACTTTGTAAAAATCTGTATCAACTAGAAAAACGAGTAGATTTTCAGTGCCCAAAACGTCAAGTGCAAAAAAAAAGCAAAGCAAAGAAAGAAAGAAAGAAAAAAAAAAGCACTGACGCGTCCTGCTCTGCTTTCTTCTCGTGTCCATTTCGCAGCCTGTGAGAAAAACTGCGCTAACAACGTAACTTAAAACCGCTCAAGAGCTCGGATAACATCTCGACCAGGCAATATCTCTGCACAAAATGATAGAAAACTTAAAATAGTTTCAATTTTACGCCGTATGACACTGTGCTTGAGCGTAATCTCTCCGTTATCTCCTTGGTACGCGGACGGTGCCTACCTCTAAGTTCTCCAGCCTTTGTTTTAGCGACTGCAAAGTGTTCGAGAGCTGCGCTAGGGTGTCCGCGGGGCCCCTGGACACGTCCCCCATGGTGTTCTTCGTCCCCGCGTCTTTCCTCCGCGCTCCCGGCTCCCCGCTCTGGCTCTCGCAGCGCGCCAACTTCGACGTGAGTTCCCGGATGGTCTCCTTTTGGTTCATGATGGTCTCCTTTTGCTGCAGCACCGTCTCCCGTAACTGCATGACGCTGCTCTTCAAGTTACTGTCCCCGCGCACGGAATTTTGCAACGTGGCCGCGCATATGTCCATGTCCTTGGGTACGGACGTGCAAATGAACTGCGTCTGTCCGAAGTTTTGCGACGAAGTTTCCAGAAAGAGGCAAACTACGAGGAAAAGTCTCCAGTAAATCCCGCGCGTAAAACTCCCCATGATCGCGGTTGTCGGTTTCGCGTTCCCAGATACGAACTCCGCGGTTGTCTCGCGCTGTGTACCGACAACGAAAGGCTGCAGTCGGTTATATATGGCCACGCCCACCGCATTACGAGCGCTGAGGGGCGGGGAGGAGCACGCCGGCGTCACATTGAGTTGAAGAAGAAGCCCATTTTGCTCTCAGGCTATCCGCGCGTTAAATCTTTCATCGCTCGGGCTGTTTTGTCATTTCTCGCTCTGTATTATTTATCCGGAGTTTGTAGGCGGAGTGGTGGGAGAGAGGGATGAGGAGAAGGAGGGATGGAGAAAGGGAGAGTGGGAAGGAGGGAGGGGGGGGGACTGCGGGAGCCAGATGTGCCGTGCGCGCCGCGGTTCTCCGGAATGTGGATGCGAAATGGCAATTAGTTTTCAGCACCAAGGACAGCGCCGTAAGTTTTCACCGTGCGCGCTGGAGGCGGTTTTTGGTGGAGCTCAGAGGGGTTTGAGCTGATCCAAAGTTCAGATTTACCTTGATTTATCACTGACAAGGAGATCAAAACAAGAAGGTTACAGTTTCAACTCCAAAGCAGCTCACGCCTTTCCAGACTGCTCACCGGTTCCAAAAAGAGAGACCATATTACACCCATCCTAGCCCAACTCCACTGGTTACCTGTTAAATACAGAATTGATTTTAAAATTGTATTATTTGTTTTTAAATCACTTAACTCACTTGCGCCACAACACATCACTGATCTTTTAACCCCCCACACAGCCTCTCGGTCTCTCAGGTCAAACTCGCTCAACCTCCTGTCCATCCCACCATCCCGCCTCAAAACCAGGGGAGGCCGAGCCTTCTCTGTTGTTGCCCCCAAGCTTTGGAATTCCCTCCCTCTTCCCCTGAGATCTTGCTCCTCCCTATCTCACTTTAAAACCCTCCTAAAAACACATTTTTTCAAGATGGCATTTAACAGCCCATGAGCTCTATTTTAAACTATTATTTTTATGCATCAAGTAACTCGTCTATGTAATATTTTATATTTGTGTTAGTGTTTTCATTATGTTGTGTTTCATGCTGTAAAACACTTTGGTGCAACTTGTTATGGTTGTTTTTAAATGTGCTATATAAATAAAATGACTTGACTTGACTTGACTTGACTTTCTGTCAGGAGTTTGAATGTTCCCCCCAAACCCCAAAACAAGCACAAGAATTCAAATCCTCCAACTAAGGTAGTCCAGACCTAGCCTGATTGATCTGTCGGTTTCACTTAGTGGAAACCATCTGACCTCGCAGCATTGTTTGCTCGACAGTAGGCAGTTAGTTTTTTATTTAACCAGTCACTGCTATTTGGTCATGACGAATATAATGCGCCAAATCCTGTAGGAAGAAGAGCAATAACATCTTTCCCCTTGATAAAATTCACCAAACATTCTCTTTTTTCCGGCTTTAAATCCTCAATCTCAGGAATTGTTGCCAACACAGAATGTATGTCTTCATCTACATCCATCTCAATCGCTTTGTTTACTGTTGTGCTGTTCCACAAAAGGGACCCAGGCCGGTGCACAGGCTACAACTTCTGGAGTTCTTGCAAACCGTCTAGTGTATTCTGATTTCTGACCTAGTCGCTGGAGAGAAATGAAATTGAGCGACGGCACTAGGTGACACCAGCTTATTCCAGACCAAGACTAGCTCAAGATCTGGGGGGCGGTGCACTGTGGCACGGAGCCCCAGCGGCAAATGCAGAGGACACATTTCCATACAAGGACAATAAAAACTAGTCTTACCTAAAATGGTTAATATCACTTTCAGCCTTCTCCTGTTTGGAGATTGGAGGTGAGGAATTATTGAGGTGCGTTCACAAACATCAAAACAAAATTGGGGCAACGAAACTAGGACTGAACCAGAAACTAAACCTGGACAAAATCGGGAGTAAATCAGCACTAACTAGTGTTGCCAAACTTGGTTATAATACTAAGGTTACTAAGATACTCAATACCTCTTTTCTGATACCACAATTCTGATACCATGATGATGATTCAATAAACACTCTAGTCAGTGTACCACTTTGTATGTAGTAGTTGTAGTAGTAAAAAAATATACATAGAACTTGCTATTTGTGGTCAGTAATAACCGCACAAACCGTACTTATGTACACTTATTCTAGCTTTTTGTTGACTTTGCCAGTGGTGTTTCACACGGCTCTGTAAGTACTTTGATTGCTGTACAGACTATTTAAACAGTAGAATGTGATATTCAACTTGAACTCATAGTACTTTCTTTTACGTTATATGTGTGTAATCCCTCAGTGGTCCAGGTAGGTTTCATAGTGGTCCATGGGAGTATATTAGTCTATGTGCTCTTACACTTGTTCAGCTCAAAATCATTCTAAAGTTATTCAGGAAAGGTTTCTGCTGTGCGAATGTGACTTTTTTTTTGTATCAATACCAACCCAAATGGTCTAGTTTCGATATTAGTTTTAGTATAAATTCTTTTGACAACCCTATATATACCAAACCAGGACTTAAAATTGACTTTTTTGAGTGTTTAAGGGACAGTCCAGAGTTTTGGACATGGGACCTCATTTCCTAGTGAGTCAGAGTGTTGGAGACGTGTGGAGACACTTTTTAAAATATTCCATCCAGTCCTTGTATTTGCAGAGGTCGCTGGTGCTGGGCCAGTCTTAACCACTCCACAAAACACCCAAAGCAAATCTGTTATTACACCAGACTGTTGATGTAAACGTCTGTGTCGACAGAATAAATTTTGAAGTAAAACCAACCTTGCATTTGAAGGATTATGTCTGAGCAGCAGCAGCGACTTGTACTTCCCAATAGAAAACTTACCAGCGGCGAACTAATATATGAGAAAATAGTCCCTCAACGTGTGATGATTCATGCGATGCAAGGTTATTTTTATTTCAAGCGTTATTCTATCAACACAGACATTTACATCGACAGTCTGGTGTAATAATAGATTTGCTTCAGGTGTTTTGTGGAGTGAGTAAGACTGTTTTTAGTAGCAGGAAAACTATGGCCATTGACATGCACTAGTCTAGCACCAGCGACCTCTGCAAATACAAGGACTGGATGGAATATTTTAAAAAAAGTGTCTCCACACGTCTCCAACAATCTGACTCACGAGGAAATTAGGTCCTATGTTCAAAATTCCGGACTCTCCCTTTAAGCCATGTTATAATGTTGTCATCCCATCAAAAACATACCTGGAGTTGTGTTTGAGTAACTCTTTATTATTAGTTTGTCTATATTTAATTTTCAAGTTAACAGCCACATTTTACCTTTAGTTCAGTAGAGAGATTTGCAATTCCAGGGCTGAACTTATCCAAATGATTCTAGTGAAGGTGTGTGGAGTTTAAAAACACTTACCACATGACATCACAAGTTGGAACAGAGTATTTTCTTCTGTTTGAGAGAAGAACTCGCAGGATTTGTGCGTTAAACATGCGAGAGCGAAACAAAACACAACTCCAGGTCTGTTTGTGACGAGGAAACAACATTATGACATAGATAAGAAGACAGCACGGCATGATAACTTAACGGATGTAAAAACGCTGCACAGTTTATATAAGCAGAGCGTTTATGCAACCCCATTTGTGGCTATACCTCTGCAGCAGTGTGTCAAAGCTCCACACAGTGCCTGGTCCGTGTCCTGGTGTAGGCTGCGTTCTATTAAACAGATGAAAAGCCAGTTAACAGAGGCCAGACCGAACACCAACACTGATTTGGAAATCCTCCTACAAGGGCCCGAAGAAGAGAATTTTAATAGCGTTTAGGTAAAGCCCTGACACCTACGCGCCTCTCCAGACAGCCCCGGTACTTTGTAAGGTCCACGTATATCGCTTTAAGTAGAAAAAGAGGTGAAGGTCGGATCAAATTTCAAAGATAGAGACTGTTAGAAAAGTGCGAAAATGCGCTGATGGTTGGTAAGGCAAACGTCAACGTATATAAAAGCTCAAAGCATGAAGTTTAAAGGTGCATTGTGCAACTTTTCTAGCAGAGGTCACGCCACAGTATGGAAATAAACTTGGTAATGACAATGGAGGCAGGTTAATGGTCAGATCTATGGAGAAGCAAGCCCGCACATGGTAAGAATTCATGTTTTTATGCTGTTTTTGAGCTTTAAAACACTTGTAATTGAACAAAAGCAAAGGAGATACAGTATGTTTAATGCACTACTGTGGAACATTCCAGGCAAAGACATTACATCTCCATGGTGACAAGCTGGAAGCAGATCCTCTCAGCCTTAGAAGTGCACCTTTAATGCCTTAAAACTGAAATCGTCTCAAAGTTTTCCAGAACTTTTTTCACTTATGGCACTACTTTGTATACAGTACTATTAAGTCGAATGTTTTTGTGAAACTACTTCAAGTCTCCATGGCGATATTAGTTTTATGTCTTGAATGTCCCACAGTATGGCTTTAAACTCATCAATCTTGCATTTATTTCATTACATTTTTTATTGCTTTAAAATGCACTGAAAAGCACGTGCTCTTACGATGATTGAGGTCGCCTCTCCACAGATCTGACTTGTAACTTGGCATGCTAATCCCCATAGAGACCTTCTTGTGTCTATGGGGATAAGTTAAATGAACTACTGTCAAACATTACAAGGAAAACATCTCCATGGTGACCAACAGGGGACATGCGCACCCCCAGAAAACTTGCATAGAAACATAAAAGTAACAGTAAAAATAGTAGTTTTTCATGTGTAGATTTCTTAATTTATTTGGATTAAATAAACTAAATTCATAATTCTGAACAAGACCTCATCAAAAATATCACAAAATCAAATACTGTATCAGAGCAAGTATAAGAGCACCTGGACCAGACCACTGCGGAACCGACCTGGACCACTGAAGCTGTTTTCAGGTCGGCCAGAACGGTGCCGGTGTTTCTGCCTCAGTTACACTGCGAACCAACATGTTTACCAGTGAACAACCCGTGTTCAGACTAGGGATGGGCGTGATTAGTCGATTAATTGATAATTAATCATTAAGAATTTCATT